ATCAGTGTTGTCTCCCTCCATTAGATTAAAATGTGCTGTTTAAAGTGGTGGAGGTAAATCTCTTTGAAGCACGGTTACCTTGACGACGTTAACGAGCCTGTCAGTGACAGAGAGAAACGCGCATCACTTTCGTTCCTTAGTTCTCAGGCTTTTTTGAATGGGATTATCAGCTCCGAACAAACGAGTGCTGAAGACAAACCGTAAATGGTATCTAAAAAATTCTTTCAGTCTAAGCGAGAGCTATCCTTTGTCTCCGATTGGGGTAACTTTCATGGATGTAGCTTATTCACAACCTTAATGGGAAGGAGGAATAAAAAGGTTTGAGAAATCCTGCTGGTCTCATTGATTAACATGCAGCACAATGGTAGAGCAGAACTCTCAAAAGCAAAACTTTCCCTCCGAACAAACGAGCGGTGAGCAAAAACCGTATTAGGTATTCAAAAAATTCTTTCACCGTGAGCGTCAGCCATCTTTGGACTACAACTGGTGTAACTTTTATATTTCTACAATATTTGGTCTAGGCGTGGTGACGATGTAAAAAAGTGTATAATTGTCAAAATCATGATTTTGGGGTTCGGACAGATTTGTTACCCCCGAACAAACCTTTTTGCTAGCTAAACGATAAAAGATATCGACACACTTCCTTCAATGTGAGTGCTAGGAAGGTCTGAGGAACAACTTCACCAAGGCTCATGTTGCTACGTTGAACGGTTCCCAAATGGGAGCGATACGAAAAACTTTGTTTTTTTGAATTTTCACTTTGGATTTTCAGAGAGCTCTCATTGGATTTCTATTGGGGAAGTGTGGACTTCTTCGTGGTCTGGGCCAAACTGTCGGAAAACCGTAAATGCCACACAAATGAGGGTTACATTTCCTGAATCCTGACAAAAATCCCTACGTTTTGATGTAAAATTCATCTAGATAGAGTAAAAAATGAGCGAGTGAGTTGAAGCTGTTCGGCATGAGTGAAATGTTTGAAAACGCCAGAGTGGCACACTCTAGCAGCTGAACATTCCGTCCATAGACTTCCATTATAAATTTGAAAATCTTTAAAAATTGTTTAAAAGTTTGAAGCTTCACTGAAGAAAAACTGTAAAAGTTAGCTGAAAGCCAAGTTAAACTGTAATAGCAGAAAGATACGGAAACATTTTAAAAGTTGAATGGTGTTTCTAGCTGAAAGTATGCAGAAGTAGTTAAAGAGCAAAATAGCAGAAGATTTAGCAGAATTTTAGCAAAATGCCATTCATTTCAATGAGGCAAACATTTGCAGAAAAAGCTGAATAATTTAAAAAGCAAAAGAGGTAGAAATACAAAAAGACATAGCCGACATGTCCTAAATGAGCTGAATATTGTGAAATTTGAATGGTTGAAATAGCATAAAGTATGCAGAAGTAGTAGCGTTACAAAAAATGGTCGGAAGAATAAAAATAATAATAAATAAAGAATAAAGAGAAACAGGATCTCAATAGTGTGAATGCCTACAGCATTCACACAATAAAGAGAAACAGGATCTCAATAGTGTGAATGCCTACAGCATTCACACAATAATAAAGAGAAACAGAAAAACAATAAGTGGGAATGCATAAGCATTCCCACTTGAATATGTTATTCCTAAGAAGATGGAGGATTTATTTTTTCTTATTTATTTAATTAACTATTAATTGCAATTTTTCTTTCTTCCAGAAAAAATGTTACGAGGCTGTCAGCTTGCCTGTTGACATGTATACTAGTGTATGTTTGGGTTTCTGTATTAGGGTTGACAACAGAAACAGAATGTAATCAACTCTTGAGTGTTGGAGGTAAAGATGCTTTTTGTTTCCCTCTAGTAATCTAGGATAATCAATTATGGATTTCTACTCAAGGATTTCCACTAAAAATAGTCTTTAAAAAGTACACCAAGGAAAAAAATTGTTTTGTTGAAATGGGCTGATGGCATCACAAGATGCTGAAGAATCCAAGTGATAAGCTAACATTATTACTTTAGATATGATGACAGATTAGCTCGTGTTGACATATTTTTCAGCCTCAAGTGTTTGAGCCAGTTTGATACAAGCCAAGTTTCCATCATTTTTTATGTGCATTTGGATGCATATTAGAAAAGATTCACTAAAAGGGAAGAAAAACACAAATATTTAGGTTTTCTATGAAGCTTGATGTGTTTTTTTTTTTTTTTTTTGGCTACTCCAAAAGTAAAAAAAAGGTTAATGCACTGAACTAGAGATGAAAAAGACATTTACCACATAAGGTCTGAGATTGCTAACATTTACCTCACAGGACTAATCAGCCTTTTAGCGTCTTGCTGCTTATTCCTTTTAGAACTGCATTTATTTTTCTTTGTCTGTAGACATCATGTAACCTTGCCAAAATTATTCTTAAAAAACCTCTGTATATTTTTCTCATATTCGTGTTCTCTATTTTTTTTTTTACCTCTACCTCCTGTTTATCACAGCTATTGCTGAATAATTAATCTGATCACTCATGATTAATGTTTATTGGAATAACTGCTAACTAATTTAGTAATTGGTAATCACTAACTGGAATATAGAGACTCTTAACACATGCTAGCTGAAAGAGCAACTTAATCATTGCAGTAATTTTAGCAAACTTATAAACGTTTGCTTTAAAGAAAAACCTTTTTTGTTTGTGAATATGCTCTTTCCAAAATTACCCAAAAAGCGATGTTTTGGCTTCAAATGGTTTTAAATTTAGTTTAAAATCTTCCTAAAGGTACCTTTCCTATCTGTTTATTAATCAATCAATAAAAAAAATGACTGATTAATCGTTTAGCAAACAATCAATGGTTTCAGCCCTAATTGCAACAATTCATGATATTATCAGACAACATTAGTCATTAGATTGAATGATTCTTTTCCTTTTTTTATATATATTCAAGCTGCTTTTAAAACTCACTTGATGGTTAGATGGAAACATATTGACAGATGATCCCTAAGTGATGCAACTAATTGTAATGTTTTTTAAGTAATCACATGATGTTCTTTTCACTTTTCTCATTGTTTAGAGTTGATTTGAAAGCATATTGATGACTTATAAAATCAGCACATTCTTTATTCTGATTGTATTGCCATAAGTGGTTGCAAAACTTATGGAATTATGTAGTCTCAACTCTTAACAGTTTTTTAATCCGCAGTGTTCTTTATTTGATGTTTTTTAGAATTGTGATGGTGGTATAAGTTCCTCCAAGTCTGTCTGGTGAGCATTTCCAAAGGCAAGAGGGAAATTGTCCCAAAGTCCTAAGTGGCATTGTTGCATGTAATGGCACCAGAAAATATTCACATCAACAATATAGACTTCTTCTTAAAATAATATTTTTCCCCTGAATATCTGCATACATGTTTCTATAATTTTTGTGTTAAGCTTCTCAGAAAGACGTAGAAGTCAACCAGTTTCTATTTTGCAAAAACCCCCCAACGGCACAATGGCGGCACCATGGTCTTATTTGTTTTAGACCCGAAAATTTCATTTCTCCTGACCTGACAACCTCTAAGATGTGTTTTTGGTGAAATTTAAAAATAGCTCCATGTGTCTGAAGTGAAAAGCCACTTGAATCTGGTAATTCTACCTTAAAGACCTGATAGGTGGAGTACAGGAACGATGCTTCTTCTATACTCACAAAGAAATACTAAAGCTCCACATTAGTATCTCTGTTTTCCTTCTTCCAAACAGTTAGCAGTTTATTAGTACAGTGTAACTGAAGTAAAGGATAAAGATGTAGAGTTTAGGGCTAAATTACAGAAGGCAATGATGTATATGTGACATTTAGAAAAAGAGAAATGTAAATTAACTAAAAAACTCTTTCTGCTCATTCTGCCTGCCAAAAGTTGCTCTTAAATTCTGAGAAAATATGTTTATTATTGGTAAAACAAATGTATCTTCTTTATTATCTACAAATATGACCTTTTTACATTGTCTTCAGCGAGGCTCCCATCTCTAATATCTTGGTTCTAATTGAGTATTTTGGTGGTATAAAAGAAAAAACAAGAATATAACGAGAATGCACTTAAAAAACATATTAGTTCTTTTTTTTCTAAGTTGGTTGTTAATGTATTGCATGCAGCATTTCGCCTCATTTCAAAAGATGCAGTTTTTGTAGCAACCAGCTGGTGTCCTTGTACCTCCACTGCAAACCTGCCTGTTTGGAGACGTATCAGCTTAAACTCCATTTTGGCAAACAGCATCCTCGAACCTTTTTTTTTTTTTTTTTTTTCTTTAATGTTTTTTTTTCTACCTTCCTCCCTGTATTCTCCTCACGGTGCCCCTATTATTGTAGGCTTTAGCTCCATTGCTTTGTTTTAATTGTTTCCTGAAGTTTACCAGTTTGCTTTTTGAAAAGAAAAGAAACATAGTTACCCTCGCAGCAGAGACACTTTTATTTGTTCAAAACAGGGATTAAAAAACTGACACAGCCCTGTGATGTGACAGATGTAGACAAATGTTTATGAGCGTAAAGCACAAAGTGCCTATTTGTGCTGGAAAGTAGATCGAAGAATGGTTGAAAAGAGGGAGGAGGTCAGAAGGAAGTGAATCAGGGGTACAAGTGAGATCTTCTGGAGATCGGTCGCAAACAACGTTTATAAGCCTTCGCTCTCCAAGCGCATCCTGTTCTTCTTCTGCAATATTTACCGGTTTGGAAAGCAACCAATTAAACAAACTCTCTTCTTTCTGACCCCCAAACCAGAATTAAAGCAACTAATTACTGTTAACCCATACTGGGGGGGGGGTATACAGTAATTATCGGTGCACAACTGCAGAGATAATTCATTTACACACATGCTTCGTTTTGCTCCTCTTCCTCACCTTCCTTTAGCTTCTTTCTAAATTTAGAGGGAGGAAGAGACGGATACCGCAGTGAAACTCCCAGGGAGAGAGGCGTTCAAGGCTGCGGGTCGGTAATTAGGTTGAGCCACTTCTTGCCATTGTTAACATCCTGCTTTAATATGAGGAAGACCCCTACCTGACCCTCTTAGGCATTTTCATTTCTACATTATGTCTCTCTTTCCCATAAGTATAGTTTTTTTTTTCCTCGTGAGCCACTTTTAGATCCCTGTTTCACTCTTTTTTTCTTCTATTCTCTCCTCTGAATCTCTCCCTCTATGCTCTTTCCATTTTCTTTCTTTCACTTCTCTCCTTGGCCTTTTCACACAAACCTAATTTCTTTTTTTTTTTCCAATTCCATGCACCTTCCATCCATGTGCCCCCCCTCCCCTCCATGGCTACTGTGCTAGTCAGTTTTTGGTCATGCTTTTTTTTTGTTTTTTTATTCCTTGCAAACGTCAAGGTCACCAGCTTAATTAAGAATGGCGAGAGGGAGTCTGAAGTTCACCGCCTCTTTCTGCTCTCATTCTTTGCCTTTGCCCTCTGCCTTTGCAGGACAGGACCCTGGGATGGGACAGCGGAGCCAACAGGCAGCATTGTGCATGCCAATCAACGTAACGCTTTTATTTTTTGTCGGCCGAGAATCGAAATTCATGTCAATGCCGCTGAAGAGCAACAGAGGGAATGAATGTGTCATGTCTCTTTTTTTTTTTTCTTACTTTGCAATGATAATGACATTATCAACATGAATAATGCAATGTCTGCTGTGACCTTTTTTCTTTAAATGCAAACTGAATGGTTTTCACATCGTTACAGAAGCACAATGTACTGTTCCTGAGTTCAATCTAATGCAAGAACTTAACAGTTTGAAATCTACTTACAATTTCTACCTACTTTGAAGGAAGTTCAGTGCCATACTCTTCATATAAGGTTTTGAATCCTTTTTTTTTTCTTTTAAGAGCACTTCTATTCTCTCTTTGTTTTTGTTTTTTTAGCAGTCATAAAATTGAGGCTTGATATTTTTCTCTCTGTTTCACACCCACAATGACTCAGAAGTTTAATTACCATTATCCTGGGAGATTGTAAAGAGGGCTACGGAGCCTCTGATGCAACATTTTAGTGCTACTTTGGGGGGAAACATTAGGATATGATAACAACGCAGTAAATCAGATTCTTCTTTACCTGAACCCACACTGTTCTGTGGTCTAAATCCCAGAACAGTCTGTGTCCCCATTTCTTCTCTAACATCTGTGAAGTCTGTTTTTAGCATCTAGATTTGTTTAATACGCTTATTTGACTACAAAAAAAACTCTTATTTGATTTATTGTCTAGTGCTTGGTTTTATATTTTGCAGTTCACTAATTCTGAGTCGTTTCAGGTCGTCTTTACATTTAGAAACTTTCCCATTTCAAGATTCAAGTATGAGGTGAAAATATCACGCTATTATTAATTCTGCTTGGCTCTTTCGCGATGAATTGTGATGGCACAAGTGTCCAGTTTGTTATCAAGCAGAAATGAATTCTGCTTGTCGGAGGGCTTAGTGCTATTTAACAGATTCAAAGCTTGAACAAAAAACATGAGCTGTTTGTTGAAATTGAATGAGATGCAACATTTGATCGAGATACTGATGAAAGCTTTGCGTTGATAGACGGAGTAAAGTGGGTTTTCAGATGCAGAAAATGGCACTGGGTTGAATTCTGTTTCTAATTAGAGATGCACTTCTCAAAAATCGCAACAGATCTTCTTCTTTTTTCAAAGTGTTGAACTGTCAATACAGATTTGATCTATTTCTGTTACCTCAGTAGAGATATTTTTCCATAAAAACATAATAAAATCAGCCTTCTGAGTCTTTTACGCCATTGATTATATATTTAGGAGCAGGTGCGTAGTCACAATGCCTGCGTAAGAGAATAGACGCGATGAACTGTGCTTCTTCGACAGGAAACTATGACGTTTGCTATGGATGTGGTGGTGAACTGGGGTTATTTTACATGTCTCGAACAATTTACTGCAAGTTCTGTTCACTCAGTGGTGTCATTCTCCAATCAGAGAAAGATTTGATTTCTTGAGTTTCTTTAGTGGCCAATTACTCGTCAGTACTGATCTAGCTGAAAATTGGAAGAACCCAATCTTTGGCTGATTTCTTTGTGCACGTCTAGAGAGAAGAACTCATCAATGTTGATTTGACTTGGCTTTCTGACTGAATTGTAATGGGAAAAGTTCTGGTTTGAATTCCAGCAGCTTTAGCTACATTTTCTCTCACTATACTCACCCTCAGGTCTCACTACCGTTTATTGAAGTTGATTCATGAAAGAAGACGAGAGGTAGCCATTTGTGCTAATGACTACAGCGCTGCATTTGATGGGATACGGTTCCGCTTTGATGAGGATGTTTGTCAGTGCTGTTTCAAACTGAACCCAATCCCAACTGACAGCAATACAAGTCAGATTTACACATCTATTGATGCAAACAATGCACTGGGGGAAAAAGCCATTGTGTGTTTATGGATGCGGATAATAGAAATAAGCAAGAATTCGATAACAATATTTGCTTGAATGTAGCCAAGTGTGTAAGTGTGGGTGTAGTGCTTATCATCTGTTTCTCTTTTCAGGAGATGTATTCCAAGGGTCTTATTCTGGTCAGCGCCATCAGACAGATTAAGGGACTGGGTGACAACAAGTTTGAGGTTGTCACGGGTCTTCGAACTTTCACATTCCGGGCTGAAAAAGAAGGTAAAAGTCCCTAGATCTCTATCTTCCTTCATTTTTCAGTCATTTTTTAGCTTCTCAATTTTCTCATTATGTAGTCTGCCTCTGTCACTCTGACCGTATGATTCACTGTCTACCTTTGTTTTTTTTATACCTCTCTTACACTTTTTCCATATCTTCATTCTGTCGCCCAGAGTCGCTGTACTTTCTGAATACGTCTGTAGCAATCTATTTTTTCACCTATTTTCCCCATCTTTGTGTAAAAGCACTTCTCTCTTTCATAGGACTCTACATGTTTTTTTTTGTGCAAAATATTACTTTGAAAAGAAATGCTTCTGTGTTTGGGAAAGACTTTGCAGCTTTTAAAGTGCATATGAGCAGATCAATAAGAATGTCTGTGCTGAGCCAAGATGAGGAGAGTGGTAAAACCAAGAGTCAGGAACACAGTTCTTAGAAGAAAAATAACTAACTAAATAATAACTAATTTTTTGCAAATAAAAAAGTTACATTTTTTTCAGTCTAACTGCATTCTGTTTTGAATCAGAAATTTTGAAATTTTAATTCACATTTGGGAAAAAGTCAGTTGCTGACTGGACAGACTGATTACCATATTTTCTGAAGTATAGAACGCACCACACTATAAGCCACACTCACTAAAGTTTAATGTGTGAATTCGAGACATTTGTTCTCCATCATGGCGGCTGCTAGCATGTCCTTTTGTTAAATGGAAATCAGCCCTTTATTCTTTCATTTCCAACTTTGACGTCCCCTTCTGGTTAAGGACACATCCACAGAAAGGCTGCACCTTCTTATAAGCCACATGTTTCAAAGCATGGGGAAAAAAGCAGCAGTCCAGAAAATACGGTAATCCAAGTGTGTCGGATTACAGTAACCATGGTTACTTCAGATTAAGAAGCTGGGCAAAGTTCAGGAAGTAGATGAGTTGGGCATGCAACTCATTGTCAAGTGTGAGGTTTCCAAGGTTCTCACCAACTGCGACTACAAAAATCCAATATGGCTGCCCTACTTAAAGAAAGCTTTGTGACAGTCAATTTCATCACAATTTATGTGCTCTTCTATTGTGTTTTCTTTTTCTTCAAATGTTTAACCCACTCCGTTTCTATTGTTGCTATGCTGTTTGAAAGCATGTTGTGCAAAGAAATATATTATAGCTAATTTGAGTTGCTAAAGATAGTTAAGTCTGTGAGCGTTTATTATACTAAATCCCACCTCACCATGGTTAGGATGGTCTTAAATAAAATCCTAAGATCCAAGTTTAAAGTTCACAGATACAGGAGTTTTTGCCTCCTTCTTGATTTTTATTTATTTGGATTTTTTTTTATAGATTTGATACACTTGTGAAATCAGAAAGATATTATTTGTCAGAGTCATCACTAGTAAATAGAAAATGCAGGTTTTTTTCAATGTTTCTTTTATTTTATTTTATTTTTTTCATTTTATTATTATTAAGGGGGAAAAATCCAAACCTCTATGCTGCTGTGTAAAAAGGGATGGCCACATACATGAGATAACTGCTGTGGGTATCCATAGCTTTAGCAAGCTTTGCCATGAATCACTTGCAGCGCCATAGAGACCTTTGTCCCCCTCATCTTTGCAGAATTGCTGTAAATCAGCCACATTGGAGGGTTTTCCAGTATGAATGATGTTTTCAAGGTCATGCCACAATATCTTAATAGGATTCAGGTCCAGACTCTAATTTGACCTCTACCGAAGTCAACATTTTGTTTTTGCTTCACTTTTCACACAAGGCAAAATAAGAGCAAAGCGGATTTTTGCAGAGGTTTCCCTTCTCTGGTGACAAGTTGCATTAACATGGGTCTTTACAGTAGTTCATAGGCATAATGTCTTCTGGGGATAAGCAAGTTCTAAATATTGTTTTGAATGGTGCAAATCACCTTTTTAGGTGGGCGCCATTGCAAGGACAGATCTGAGCTCCATCCTATTCACCGTCATCAGTCAGACTCCCGACCTGCGCCTTTTCGTATCACTAGATTTATTTTTTTAATCTTGTGTGGACTCTGTGATTGGGAATGCTGCTGATTTTTGGCTGGTCTTTTGTGATTCATCTTCACCAACCATTGTCCCTGTTCTTTTGCTCTGGTGGAGACTCAACAAAGTAGCTAGTTGAATGTAAGCGCGCAGAGCATCACACCCACACAACCCTGATGAATTTAGCCAGAATCATACACTTGTGAACTGACTAATGGCGCCTATAGAGGCAACTGTGATAAAGTCCTGCAATTGTAATGGCATGCATAAAAGAAAACAACTATTCCTTTTTCCACTTGCTTTTAAAAGCTGCATTTTCTGTTCACTTGTGGTGTCATTAACAAATAGACTTATGTGATGTTCTGCAAGTTATTATTACAACTTTCTGCACTGCATATCTCTTTTAAAACCTTCTAGATGCAACACCAATGGATGTGTGGAACAACCCCTATTTCATTTGGTTGTTGGTCCTTTAAATTATCTTTACTTTATAGAGCATTCACTCACATTTACCTTTTAAAATATTTAACACTGATATTTATTCTTAGTTACCAGCAAAGGGGTTCCAGCGATTATAGGAGAATTCAGCATTAGTAGAACAGATCAAAGAGAATACTGAAGACGGCACCATTTTTGTGTAGTTTATTAACAGCCATGATCAAAATCCCAACATTCTAATAAAGTAGTGCACGTTTTATTGAAACTCACTAGCATTTTAAGTGTTTGTGGCCATCTCAGCCAATCCAAACTCATAAGACTTTTGCAAACCTGTCCCCTTTTCTCTTTGATCGTCTGAAATGGATTTTGCATTCGGTCGGACCAGGCTGTTGTTCCTGGAACAACTGATTGCTTGCGTGGAAATAAAATAAATATTAGAGATAACATCTAAACAATCTCATAAACATATTTTATAACTGCTGTTTCCGGAACATTTTCATGTCCTCCCCTGACACTACCCCCAGTACCATGGTCAGAGGAATTGTTTTAAGCACATTGCAGAAATCAAGTAGGATTTTCTTTCTCTCACTTTTTTTTTTTGCATGACACCCTCATTAGGAAGACCAGCACAACTTGGAGGTTGAAGCTCAACTTCAAGTGTCTTGTTATATTATTGGTCAGAAGTAAAGGAAAAGACTACAATGTATTGCTTTACATTTATATCAAAACGCACAAGAGGAAATTGCACATACTCATAGGTATGTCAAAATACTTTAGCGCATGAGTTCATCAACCAAACTCACATGAGCAAGGAATTAAAGGTACCAACCTATCATCCATTAGGACTTTTACAGTTGCCGATCCAGGAAATGGTCAGGCAAAATCACTGCAGAACCATTTCCCCCATTTCATAGTTTGATCCAACTTCTCCCTGCTGGTAGGCCCTGCAGAGCACTATACACTGCTGCCCCATTGTTTTAATGTTGTTGTTTACAGTATTATTGTTGTTGAATTAGTAAACACCTCGTGAGATAATCTAAAGTTAAATTCTTTATGTTTGCACGTACCTGGAACTACAGCTGATTCTGATAATTGTGTGGCCAATACGTTTGAAATGTTTTCTTATTGTTCTACAGTTACTGCACATTACAGGATCAGAGAGGGCTATACTTTTCTTCTGAAGTATTAGTGTATTTTGTATATAGCTATTAGTTCTATTATTTTTGTATATAGCTATTAGTACAGCTGGCTTTGGAGAATCTACATTATTTCTCTCAGTCTGACATTTCGAAATCCTCTTGTTCTTTTACAGGCAGAGGTTGAACACTCAAAAGGATGAATCTATGAATCGGAGCAAATTAGCTTTACTTGCTTAAATTTTAAGACACCTCACTGGTGAGTGAAGCAAGGTTTTTTGTTGGCTGTAGTGGTTTAAGCTGTATGGTGTGTTAGGTGAGCATAAATGAGCAGAGTTGGAGTTTCTGGTTGGCCATTCACTGCTTAGGGTTGCTCAAGCTGAAATGTTGCACCAATAAAACTGAGGAAGCCCAATGAATTCTTTGATGTCATATTTTTGTTTTCTTAATTGCACTTTTAGTGTAGAAAATGTGACCTACCTTAGTAAAAAAAAAAAAAAAAAAGAGTTTTAATAAGCCAAAACTAAAGGCTGTCTTTGCTTCTTGTCCTTCAGTTTAAAGCTTTTTGTCATAGCCTTATAAGAAAAAAAAGAGACGTTACCCACTCCTTGCCTTTTCCCATCAACCCCCTGCCTGTTCGATGGCAGTCTGTTAAGCGGCTCAGGTCAAACAGCTTGTTCGCTAATCGGCAGTTTATGTCTCCGGTCAGATATAGTACGCCCTTTGATCCCCTGAATGAGTGAGGTTGGTGAAATTGAGGTTTGCATAATGATGGCTCTGAGAACCTTTGACTTATTGTGTTGCACACTATGAATATGTGAGAAGAAGATGAGCTGAAAGTGGAATATCATCCATGAAGTAGTCGTATATTATTGACATATTGAAAATCCACTGATGCATTTATGTATTGCTGAGCGTCGGCTGTATCCTACTGATCAGATTCAAGTTTTTTGTGCATGTATAAGCAAAAGCTATTTGTTGTAACACATAAAATTTCTATATTTACCTCGTACAGCAATTAGATGTGCTACTGGCTGTTGGGGCCAAAAAAACACCATACAAACTGAGGTAAATATGCTGTATTGTATCCAGACTAAATAAATCCTTTTTCATGTATGGATAAATCCTAGGTGGGGCAAGGGACACCAACCATTTGTTTCAGATTAAGTCACAGTTTTGATCCGTCAGTTGAAAAGATTGCCCTCAAAGTAAATGTGAAAATGAAATGTGCATTGCCTCCAGCAAGTATCATCCTTTTGTTATAGCTAGCTGGGCATTGTTGCAGCTGGCCCACATATCATACACTGCATGTCTCTGCAGCCTTTTTAATTGTAAATGGGTTATAGTTGAAAGTCGTGCCTTGAACTCAATGCGTTTGATGAAGAACAGGACTTTGAGCGTAATCTGAACATGAAAGGGCATCATTACAACCACTGCAAA